GTGTCTCGAAAATAACAAACATCTCAAGAACAATGTAAACTGTATACACCCTCCCTAAAAAGACACTCGCGATCTGTCAATATATCCCCGTATATTTATTTCGATTATCACATTGTCGTTAAGGGTTAAAACAGTTTTAAATTATATATTAAATTTATTTTACTATGCCATGCCGGCATAAACTACTCACTTCTTATGGTCTAAATCTAAAATGTCTTGTCTTGAAAGAACATTGTTTTCACATTTCACTTTCCAGCGAAACGTTCAATGTGTGCGAGATGCAAGCAAGCAAGCTAACCGACGAGAGGCCGACGGGGATAGCCGACACCGAACACATCTATAACGGAGTTTGCCGAGGGAGTTCAGGTACGAAACAGTGTGGCCATCTGCCTAGGGAACGGAAGAGTAATATTTGCATGTGTCAGCTGTCTTGGGTGAAGCTGGTTGCAAATGGCGTTGTGCCCTAAGGCAAGTTGCTGGAACTTCCGGTACCGTAATTAAATGTTTGAGGAATAAAAATAATCAATCCTAGATAAAAAATGGATAAAAAATTAATAACAATTCTTTTAAAGGTTTTGAAATAGTTTATTAGAAATACTGTAACTTTCGTTATTTGTATTTTATAGATAAAATATAAAATCGTTCAGACGACGACATGTATATATATATATATATATATATATATATATATATAATCTATTATAAATATATTTCAATTTTTAACTTGGGTACGTAACTAGGGTAAGTTATTGTAATCGTCCAAAAATCGAAATAGAAATTTTTTGCATTTCTCGACGCTTTGAAGGTTTCTGAACATTTTGGCATACCTCAGAAAAAATTGATGTGTGTGTGTGTGTGTGTTTTGTGTGTCCACATTTTTTCATTCACGTTTTCGGGCGCACGGATCAACCGATTTGAATGGTTCAAAAAACATTCGATTCACATTGACAGGGAGATGTGCTGATTAGTTTTTGATAATCTAAAAAACATTCAATTAGTAATGATTGGGAGAAGTCGTTATTAGTTTTTGGCAAAGGCAGACCCAGCTATTTCGAAAATACAGAGCTAAATGTGTAAAAAATGGCAGTTTTTGAGGAAACCTAGCGTCCGATTCAAACTTTCTGCTTGTTTTAACAAAATAATTGATTCTGCGAAAAAAAATTGTTTCAATTTTTTTTCTAATTTTTTTTCTATTTCAATTTTTTTTTTGTATATCGAAAATAATTGATTTTATTTTTAATTCTGACTAAAGTTCTAATATACTTTAAAGAAATAATTTCAACTTTTCAAGTTTCAGTTTATATAATTCTTATAAATATTCGACAATGTTACAGTATTTATAATAATCTATTTGAAAAAATTTAATATTCCTCGAACATCTTGTAACGGTAGGGGAAGTTCCAGTAATTTGCCTTAAGACACGATACCATTAGTTAAAATTCAAATTAAATCTAATCATGTTACCGCTGAACTAGAACGAAAGACCTTATCTCAAATTTCATCATGCATTAGAAAAATACCTTATCGTATTTTTCTAAGAATTATATAAACTGAATTGCAAAGTTAAAATTTTTATTACAAGTATATAAGGGAGCTTCAGAATTATAAAAAGCATTAAAACTAAAATCCGTATCATTTTCTACCTTAAACAAATCTGAAATTTTATAATTAAAAAAATTATGAACCTGCATTACCTAAAAACTAATAATTTCTTCTTACTGTCAACACAAGAGAAATATTTATTGAATCACTCTAATCGGATGCTCCATTCTCTGAAACTCTGCTATTTCTTCACTCTTTGCTTTCGTATATCGCAAACGGCTGGACCCATCTTTACCAAAACAGGAAATCAGCAGGAATCGAATGTTTTTTGAATAATTCAAATCGGTAGTACTTTTGTACTATTATTGCTTTGTCTATGAGGATCTTGTTTTTGTATGCCTTAAAGCATCTGCCAATTAGCCCTTATATTTGTTTACACTTTGGCATTTCTACATTGCTAATTTTTGTATCAGGGCAATTTCCTTTTCTTTTGGTAAGAGTGATGTGAATTGATTTATTTGTGTTAATGCTCACTTTTCATTTACGAGTCCATTGTTCTAATTTGAATGAATAGTTTTGCAGTTGTTCCAAAGCTGTCATCTGCAAATGTTCCGAGGGTTATTTTGGGGTCAGTTGGTATATATCGTTGTATATTAGGTACAAATTGGTCCGAGTACGCTACCTTGTGGTACGGCAGCTCTTATTGTTTCAATAACAGAAAATTCATTTTAAATTATTCATTTACAAAGGACAGCAAGTAAATAGTTTTATGTAAGATTAATTCACACTTTTATTAGCTTATATCATAATGTGAAAATTAAAGAAAAATTATTTTTGCAAATATATTTATTTCACATTGATATCAGCAGTGCTTAAATTTTGCAATAATGCATGAATACATAATAAATATCATCAATAACAATATATTTGCAATTTATTTCAAGCTAATCTAATATCACAACCTAACATGCTAGCAAGTTTGTAGAAAAATACTAAATTAGTTTTGTGGTAATGTGCCTATTAACAAATCAGGATGTCCCTAATAAACAAATCATTAACATTTTGAGAAACCATATTTTTCATATGTTATTCTATAAAATATAGATCAACTTCTAACAATTGAACATTCCAGATGTGTGAACGTTTAGCAAATATGAAAATAAATTTAAGCCCAAAATTTTAGTTAAATATTGTATATAATTTCAGTAATTCTAATCAATAACTGAAAATATGAGGATGCCCGCATCCAATATGAATCACAGATTTTAACTTTAATACATTCTGCCAACAACAGTAGATGATGTGAAAAATATCTCTACTAAATATATTTTTATATTCAAGATAATCATATGTTTAGTAAATGATTCAAAATAGTAAACCTTTTACTTTTCTTTTATAATGTGACTCTAATAAATTTTGAAAATGTCTCTTCAATTCAAAATAAATGATTAATTGTTTGATGCATAGGTAAAATCTATCACAAATTGAGCCCTAAGCAGATAACATCTTCATATAATTATTAACATTTAACATTTTCTATATATCTTTCTAATCTACCAATAATTTGTATGCTTAAACAATAGGACAACGATGAAGTAGAAAATTGTATCACTTTTCTAATGTTTGTACTAGCTAATTTTATAAACTATAATTTAAATAATTTGTTATTAAATATCTAAATAATATATACAAATACTTTTAAAAAATATCAACAGAATAAAATTTTTAACAAATTAGCATATATACAATCTTTAAAACCATGAATATATTTTTATCAATTAAATGAAACTAGTTAACTAATCATATTTGCATTATTTTTTTTTAAATATATTTCATTATTATATATTTTTAATGCACCAACTGGTGTACCAAAAGCCTCAGCATCATATGCTTAAACCATGTTATAAATTTTCAATGTTTGAGCAAGATATTTTTGCATTATCTAATTATTCTGATACTCATTTAATAAAAATTATATTTACATTTTTTTGTCATGCATCATCGAATGTGTAGAATTTTAATTTAATATCTTGGATTAGTGGCGTATTTTTAGCCATGATGAAAATTCGAACAATGCTAAATGTTTCAGAATCGTATTTTCATTCAACGTAGAGCTATGAGAATGGAAATATAAATTATATAAAATACGATAATGCATTTTAAGCCAGTTAACTGTGATTGACGAATATACTCGCCATGGAGAATTTTGAGTATTGACGAGTATGCTTGCGTATCATGCATACAAAACAGACCATTTGCTACTAAAATTGAAGTTTTGAAAAAAAAACAAAATATATTCTGTAATGTCAAGTTTAAATCAAAATCTAAATTAACTAATTGTAAGACGAAATATGAAAGAGAAAGGAAAAGGAAATTTCAATACAAGAAAAAATGTGTGTCGCCCTATTCTTGTTTGATTTAGTATTTCTACGTAGACAAGTGTTCAAATCACTAAATAATTTACTTTTCTCTCAACTAAAGTAAATTAACAAAATAATAAGGTAAATTAATAAATATTTTTGATAAAAGAAATGGCGCAATCGTACCCAGTCTCGCCAAAGTATGTAATATATGCTCATGCTAAGGAATAAATAAAATTCAGTACAAACTTTTCTCAATTTTGTGAAATAAGTCAACATTTTTCATCCTATATCTTTACAGCGCATCTTACCATGTGATAGACGAATATACTCGTCATGATCTATAGTTAACTGGTTAATGCATCAACATAATTTTATAAGCAATCTTCATATTTACTTTACTTTTATGCCCATTTCCTAAACTTCTGCATAATTTTATAAATCACTTCAAACGATTTCCTTCACTGTTTAATTTATTTGAAAAAAATCGAAGTGTTTATAAATGTAATTTACCTTTCAGGCTGTTTATTTTAAAAAACCTTGCAACCACTTGAAAACATTTATTAACCCAGCAGTTTCCAACCTGTGAGGGGCGACCCCTCATTATTATCGAAAATAACTCAACATTTTTGGAACGATATTGAGAAATGAACAAAAAATAATTAGGTTTTATGCATGCTTTTACATAATATTACATAGTCATAGTCATAGTCAATATCAGTTGAGTATTTATAAAATTAAACTGTTGAAAAAATTAAGAGGAGGACGCAACAATTTTTTTTATTAGTGCCGAGGGGGGGGGGCGCGTTGCAAAAAAGGTTGGAAACCACTGCATTAACATTTCAATCAAAATGTAGTATCAAAAAATATTTCACATGAGCCATGGTAACTTTGTGAGATAATTTGGTTGAAAATATATCAAGGAAACTTTATGTATCAAAGAATTTTTTGCCAAATTTCCTGGAAAAAACACTATTTTTTATGTCATATATATAGCTGACATATATATAGGACCATCCCTACACTAAGACTTTTTCTCGACCAGCCAAAAAATTTTTAGGTGACTTTGTCTTATAATATCTGACATGGCTCGTGTAGAACTTCTTAGCCTCAGACACATATGACACACATGGCGATTAACTTGTTAATTAATTTTCGACCCTTACATAAATTACATTATCCATTCACTTACGTGAAGCTCCAAAGTGCCATTTGCAAAAAAGACCAAGCTGTTGATATATATCGGTGGTGCGTGCGTTGACAGTGTGCGAACCGTGCGGTGAGGCAGGCGCTGGATAAATCTTGCGCCCGCCTGATGCGTGCTGGTGGGGCTGAAGAGCACCCTGGACGCGCCCCTATGTGGCGGCGCTACTGCGCTTTGCCAATGATGCATTCCTAAAGGAAAGTAAATGATAAAAAAAAACAGGATAATATAGTACAAAATATGTAGTACTATGTATTTATTGAATAAGAGATATTTATACTGTACTGATGCTTCCAACAAGAAATCAATAGGCGTTCATACAGTTTTCTCATTGGTGTTAATCCTGTTGGTTTATTAAATCAATCAAATATCCGTTGTAATTTTTTAAATGAATGAGTAAATAACAGTTATTTAACATTGTGCACACACTCTCATACAGACAGTTTTTTTCAATATTGGCCTCTAACGATTCAGCACTACTTGAAAACTCGAGAAATCAAAATTAGCAAGTCGGGTTTTCTGACAAATCATAAATTTTCCATTCAAAAAGTTAAAAAACCAAACAAATCCATCTTATTCTAAAATTATAATTATTATTATTTGATGTTTACAACATTTACCTTCTAGGCCAGTGTTGTGGTGAGCAAGGTGGACTTGGAAGAGGAGTACTCGGTGCAGATCCGGCTCTGTGTCTAGCCCATTGGGTTCCACCTACCACGATTGCAGAACCTCCGCCACCACCGCCGCCTTCTGTGTAAGATACATCCAGGCGGGAACCAGAGCGCGATGGAGGTGCTGACGAACCGGTTCCTGGTGAAAGTAAATTTAAGTAAGTTTTTTTTATTTAATTTGATTCGGACAGCAATTAGAACTTAAAAGTTTTATGAGCTGTTCTGATGAATATTTTATAAACAACGTTGATTTTTTATAGATGGCCAAAACACTTGTTGCAATTTTATGTGATGAATTTTTATTATTACAATTTCTGCAATAGTGATAAATTTTTATTGTTGCAGTGATTCCCGGTAGAGGCTATTTCCATTTGGAAACATATTGTTATCTATATTTTTAAGTAAGAACCGATGTCACTACAGCTTAATATCTTGAGAACTTACTTGAGAACAAACCCCAAATAATTTCAATAAATATTTTTTAGTTAGTTATCTGTTTTCCTTGTTGTAAAAACTTGCCCTAGCAACACTCCTCGGTCAGCTCGATATCAAGCAATAGTAATATCCAATGTTCACTTGAGATTATAGATATCAAATGTGATATAAAGTAAAAATAGCTTTTTAGGACATTGATACTGAAGTACATAAAACAAAAATCATAATTACGATGAAAATATATCACAATTAAATTTCCCATTGTCTTCTAATATAATTAACAAAACAATCATATAATAATGTTTTCATATAATAATAGATATATTGTAATTTAATTAGAAATAAAAAAAAACTGTTTTTCAAGCCATCTGGACGATTTTACATGTATTTTTATTAATTTTAATTTTCGAAGAAGTATATTATGATTAATTGAATTAAAAATAAATTAAAGTTAACTATTATAATCTTTTTTAATTTGCATTTTTGAGATTAATGATTAAAATATATTTTTACCAATTTATTAACTAACTTAAATTATCAACATTCTGTAAATTATTAAAATTTATAAATTTTGTAATCGTTTTAAGACTACTTCAGAATTGAACTTGTATAATTGAATATTAACGTAGAAATTTATATATATAAATGTATATATTTAAATAATGGAAATATCACATAAAATAAACAAAAAATAGGTTTTAAATATCTGTATTAAACAATCTATTTTAGTAATTTAATATTAGTATTGCATAAATATAATTTATCATATTTGATATATTATCATACAGTAATCAAATTAAATGAAGATAAAAAATTAAAATGGAAGAAATAAATCATCAATACTGCACTTATTGAGATAAATATTCTTTCTATACCTAAAAATATTTAAATATTTAGCTGATTAATGTTCAGTTTGGTTTTCAAGCGATATTTCACAATACTCCAGTACTCCTGCAGCACAAATAATTTAATTCGCATAAATCTCTCGAGAAAATAAATAGCTCTTTACTTTTCAGAAAGGTATACATTACACAACAGCAGAAGCAATCTGCCAAAAGTATTTTATTTATTATAGTACGGGCTTAAACAAATTGTCTCAATCCACATCATTTAATCAATTATTCAAGTATTGTTTTCCGAGCTGTAAAGGTCGGCTATGGTTTTGTTTCTCTTTACACTATATGAATTTTTTATGGTTCTTCCAACTGAGGAAGGAACAGGGATAAGCACTAAGCCTCTGACATATATTATGTATATGCCTACCTTTGAGGTGTTGTGGGACAAGACAGAGGAATCATTTTTATTACTGTCTTCAAGTAATTGATATATCGTAGTTACAACCAATTATTTAAAAAAAAGAGTGCGCGTAAGGTTCACACGCGATTGAAGTAGAACTTTTTTGCTATTGCACGAGATGGCATTTAAGTTAAAAATGAATACATTATATAACATATTTATATAATTATAAATTATAAATTATATAATTATAAAACATTAAAAATATTTATAATATTTGAAAACAATAATGTAATTAGTCATAGTTCAAATATGACATGATCGATTTGTCATTGTAATTAGCATTTAGAACTTGAATCTTCATCAGAGAAATGATGTAATTGCTGATTAATAAATTCTATAATATTCGTTCACACATTGGATCCAGTTAAACTACGCCTAAAGAAATATTGTTTTCACAATTTCACTCATCATGTAACTGTATTTGAAGAACTTCATGTAATTAAAATTAACATGCATTCATTGACTGCTTCTATTTTTGTTTTACTTTTTCGCTGGCGATGCAATCTCATTCAATTTTAATAACTTCAAAGATTTATAGAAACTACGAATAATATTTCAATAAATAAACACGAATAGTATTTCAATAAACTTACGTTTTTTACGCGGCACAAATGTTTCATTTGTTTTATTATTATCATTATAATTATTTACGGGGGAAAGGGAAAAATGTTCTTTTAATTCTTCTACGATGTAGCTTTAAAATCTAATGACATTCTAAACTCTATTCACTTGACACGACGACTAATAAAAATCGACTCATATAGAAATGATTTCATCGAGAGCGAATGAAAAACAATTCGGGCGTAACGCAACTTCCGTTGCATTTGCACAGAATTACTCCCTGGTCGCGCCTAAAAAAGTTTTACTTCAAAAAGATTGATAACTAAAATTAAGTAATTGAAACATATGATTAATTGGGCGTAAGTGGCGTTATTAATTATAGTGCACAAATACGTGTTTGTTCTAAATACTCCCATTATTAAAATTTTAATAAATTCATAAAATTCAACTAATTTTCGAAAGACTATTTTTCAGATCCATTATTAAATTTTTAATAAATTAATAGAATTCAACTAATTTTCGAAGGACTATTTAGGTGAATTTTATCAACATGTTATTTAAATAGCTAAATCCTAACTCTCATGGATTAAGTATATTATTTCCACATTTTGAGAAGTTCGTACAACTTGCCTTAAGGTAAAATGTCATTTATAACTATTTGTTTTATGAAGTTGTATACTGAAAATATTCTAAATAACTTGAAATATCGGAATAAATTCTGTTACTTTCAAAATTTTTTATTTAAATAGCACATTGTCAATGTTTTATTTTCGCGTATATACTCTCCAAAACACAAAATTTTGCCAATTCCAAAAGACGGATATATTCGTCAATAATAGTTAACTAAGTAATTAATAAATGTAATATTAAAATTTTGAATATGATTATAATATAATAGTAATAATTCTTTTACTCTTTCAATCAAAATATAAAATCACTAACAAAAATAATCTAATAAACCATAAATTCAAAATCTGCACTTATAAAACTAACTTGTTTACTTCGAAGCCTTGTTTTTCTCATTGCACAGATGCATCTCAAAGAAAATTCAATTTAGGTCAATTTATTTGAATAAGTAAACACCACCATAAGGCAAGTTGTAGTAATACGATAAATCTTAAATTGAATTAGGACTATATAATCCAAAAAACATCATCTTTTCGCAATAACATGATAAAAATATTATTCATGGGGTAACTTATCCTTGACCGAGTTGTTTGCTTTTAATCTGGATGAACGTTCCTTCTAAAAATGCATAGACTACATACTGCAATCAATGTTCAATTTATATGCACGTATAATATATTTAGTTACAGTATAATTTAAAATATTTTGCGGATGTATAAATTAAACTATTATCTTATATATAAAATTCTTCTGTACGGGTGTATGATTTGATACTTCTCCTAAACGGTTATTCGGATTTTGATAATACTTTTTAGAGCTTGTCAAAGGCAATTTTTAAGATTTTATAAACGATAAAACTGTAGTAATATTGTAGAAGCAAAAGTTACAAAAAACACTTATCATTGTGGTAGGACATTGGAAATATTTGAACTGCCATCTGCTTGGAATGTCAATTCACTTGAAATTTGAATTTAGCCGAAATTATGAGCCTAGATAATATTAGAATATAATATACAAGAAAAATGTAATGTCTACATTATTATTGCCGAAAAGAAGCTGAGATGTGCCAGAAATTAAAATAATATGAGATACAGCCAACAGTATAGATGTTTGGCAGATGAAATTATATCATTCAGTTTAATAAATAACGCAATAAGTCCAAAATACAATGTTTTTTAAGCTTATGCATATCGCATTTTGGATTACTTTACTAAATTATTTAACAATACAAAAAAATATCTCTACTTATTAAAAAAAGGATTTAGAATTTTGTTTCATGTGTCAAAAATTCATTTGTTTGGCATTAGTTATGGAATATTAAGCAAGTTGATCTTAGATTGAAGAATGATCATATTAACTAAATTTTACAAATTAATTTACCTAAGATTTGAACATAAATATTAATGTTTATTAAATTATTAGTAAAAAAAATGTACTTGGGAAATTATAATTGCCAAAAAGCAACTAATATATCGTACGAGATAATGAAAATTATAGACTAAATTTTATTGAAGCAATTACGTTGTGTGGTAAAATCAAGTGTGATAATGTTCTTTTACCGCAGATACCATATTATTTTTTCCTGAATATCTTATACTGCTTATGCCAAGACCATAAATGAATCTCAAAGGCAGGACATCAAATAGGATAATAAAAGGTATAGGATAGGATATTAAAAATTTGGAACTTTTAAATTGTAGACGTTAACGTCTGCCGGGTCATCCAGTATAAATATAATATATATATATATATATATATATATATATATTGTAAAAAAAAGACAAAATAACTTACCTGTATACGAGTATAATCCTGAAGGATTTGATCGAACTCTGAAAATAATAAGTTTTTGTTCAACTTCACATAAAAAAATTTCTTCTTAATATATAACTAATACCTATACTTTTGTAATAAATAAACGATCGAAAAAAACAGATACGAATTATATTTGGAGAATGATAAAAAGATAGCTCATAGAATAGTCATGTATTCTGATTGCTATTGAAAATAAAAATTAAAAAAAAAAAAATAAATAAAAAGATTTATAATTTTTTGCTCTATTTGTAATAGTTCACTGTACCTATCATTTTTCTTCAAACATGATAGGATAAACAAAAGATTTAACCGTTTGCAAATCCTACAAATATTTACTAGATTCATGCGTTCATTTTTTTCAATAACAGCATCAAAAGGCGAACGATTTTATTTGATAACAAAACAAATAATGTTAATTAAAATATAATTTTTTATTATTACTATTTCATCTATCCTCCTTTACCTCTGGTTGCTCATCGTACTGGCAGATCGAGTTATTCCAGTGGCTTGTCTTCGTGGACTGGACGGCTCCGAGGAACACGGCGGTGTCTTTGGCAGCAATCTGGTACTCGTATTGCTAGTAGATGGTTGCTGCTGCTGCTGCATCAGCTGTTGCTGTATCAGTTGCTTTTGTTGAGAAATAGTAGTGAGGCTACTAGAAGTGTGTGTTTGTCTAGAGGACGTTGCGGGCGAGTTGCCGGCAGATCTGGAAGTTGAAGCTGGTAAACGGGACGTGGTTGCTGGTGGCCCGGGACGGGCGGACGAAGATCGACGACGGAAGAGACGTTTGCCGGTACCGGTACGACATACCCCTATAATAATAGTTACAGAGATAACTTAAGTAAAAACTCTGTAGCAGAATAATTATCTCATATGCAATATAAGTCGATGACTAGCTTTATGATTTTCTCATGTATTATTATATATAAAGAATACTATTTGAATTGACTTGAAATAGTGTTGCAGTGTTGTTGTGAATTATTATTACTAATAACAGTTGATTAGGAACTTTCCAATTTATATTCCACTGAAGATGACATGAGATTATATGTCGAAAAGTTTAGGAATAATAAAGATGATATAATTTTCTACAATTTTTTAATTGATGTATTGCTTTGATGATTTAGTTTTACATACGACGTATTTCAACATTAAAACTTTAAATTAAATTGAAATAAAATATTTCTTGAATAAGGATGTGATGAACAAATAATTTTTTGTTGTTAAATGCGACATGGTCGATGCGGCGCAAACAGCCGAGATCAGATAAGATACATTTTTTTAATATTCTTAGCCTAAAATTTACGCCCAACTACATCAGCTATATGCCAAACAAATCCTTTCAAAATCACCTTGAAACAGTCAAAAGGACAGAAATTTTAAAAGATGTTAATTTGGTATAATGCAGTCTATTTATGTTCATACGCATGCATTAAAACCGGCAAAAAAACAGATAAATTATTTTTACTAAAAATAAAAGAATTGAAAGAAAAGAAATCATTGCCCAATCATTACTAGTAAATAATATCACCATTGATTCAAATAAGAAACAAAAGTCCGATAATGACATTAAAATAACAGTTGAAGACTAATTATTAATTTCCCGTAGGGTAAGTTATAATAATCGCAAAAAAATCGAAAATGAATTTTTTTATATATTTTTACGTTTCAGAGGTTTCTGAATATTTTGGCAAACCTTAAAAAAATGAATGAATGTGTACGTGTGTATGTGTGTATGTGAGTGCGGATACAAATTTTTCTTGACAATTTCCGGAATACGGATCGACCGATTTGGATAATTCAAAAAACATTCGATCCCTATTGATAAGATAACGTGCTGATTAGTTTTTGGCAAAGGCAGGTCTAGCCATTCCGAAGATACGGGGCAAAAAGTGCTAAAAACAATAGCTCAATTTTTAAAAGAACGGAGCGTCCGATTTTTATAACTCAAAAAACATTTTACTTGTATCGACGAGATAAAAAACTGATTAAATTTTTGAGGAGGCAGGTCTAGCGGTTTCGGAGATCTAGTAAAAAAAGTAAAACAAAATGCCATTTGGCGGTGAAAAATGATCATTAGACATAAGCACATTAAATTATCAGATATTTTATAGAGATTTTAATAATACGTATAAATTTTGTTTACATTTCTATGAGTGCGGTAACATCGTTTGTCCGTTAGACGGCGACGCGACGCTTACGCGCTTCGATATTTCGTCTCTATGCAGCAGTACGATAGCTTTACAAAAATGTTCAAATTCCCAAAATATTTCAAAATAAAGTAAACATTTTTTTCAAAAAGTCCTTTTTTTTAAAAAAAAAGTCAATTATTTTCAAAAATTTAAAATTTCTCAAAAATCTAATTTTTTCAAAGTTTAAAAAAAAATTTAACCTTTTTTGAAAAAAAATATTTTTGGTACGCGAAGTTCCAGCAATTTGCTTCAAGGCACGATGCCAATATAAAGTCATATATAATTTTTTTTATAGAGGAGAAAATTATGGAATTCGAAAACCGTTTTCTTAATAGAAAATACAAGTTTTAAATGTATGAACAACGTATAATTAATTGTATTCAAATTTATTTAAACCTGTTCATTTTTTTTTAATTAACAAAGTTGTATAAAAAATTATTATCAATAAAGTTGAATAGTAAATAATATCAGTTTTTAATCACTCTAAATTTTCTATTAAAATTTGTTCAAAACTCGAAACCTAGGAATACGACATTTTAGGAAAACCGTTTTCCAAAAATGTCGGTTTTGTATAAACCCTATTGGAAGGTAATATGTTTATGATTTACCTGTAGGGCAGGGTTGACCCATGGGACACTGTCCTTCGCAGATATGCCTTGCGGAAAGTAAACTTTGGTAAGAGTCCAGCATAATCGCGCAGTTATCGCGGTCGGATGCCTCCAACGCCAAACTGGGGTAACGCTCTTTAAGCCTGCGGCGTTCCTTTAAATAATCACCACCATTAATATCATATACCAATTTAATATTTTACATTTGTAGTGGAAAATGTGGCAAAAACAATTGTACGTATAAAACATCTTAATGTTTTATTTATTACCTCTGCAAGCATTTTCTGTTCAAAGTCTTGCAGTTGTTTCTGGAAACCTTGATTTGGATTCGCGACAGCTCTGCCGGCGCGTACCACTTTTAAGGCTTCTTTCCAAGAGAGATTCGTGACGCTCATAATGTAAGCTACTGCAACCGTCACACTGCGTGACATGCCTGCCAGACTAAAAAATAATATAGTATGAAAGATATGATATTTAAAACATTTATCATAGATTTTTGAAGTAAAACTTCTTTAAGCGCGATTAGAGTGTAACTCAAAGCAACGAAAATGCGTTACGCCAAATACTGATTCGTGATTGGCCAATAATGTTGTTGATGCAAACAAGTTAATGCGATTAATATGAAACAGATATGTAAAATATCTTATAATTATATAAAAATGAATCGCAAAATGTGTTAGTAAGCGCATAACCCAACAACGCCTGGACCAATTTGGCCAATTATTTTTTTAAAATGTTCGTTGAAGTCCAAAAATCGAATAATTGCGGGAGAACCCCTAAAAACACCCCTTTTCTTTTTCTCATACAAACGTTTCCAAACTATAACGTAGAATCAATTTGAGCTTTATTGCTATTATATAAAGTTCATATTAAATTACAAGCACTCACTGCATACTCCTTCTAAACGATTATTTGGATTTTGATAAATCTTTCTGTAGTTTGTTAAAGAAATTTTCTAGGATGTATGCGATTATAAAGTACTGGGATGTATGTGCAATATTGTAGAAATAAATGGAAGAAATTGCAAAACTAAAATTGCATTGAAAACAAATGAAAACTATCATCTGCCAAAAATTTCAATTCACTTATGAACCTAGACGATATTAGAATATGTATAAATTTATGATTATGAATAAGAGAAAAATGGAATGTCTACATTATTATTTCCAAAAAGCAGCTGAGATAAAAAAAATTATAAATAATATAAAATCCAGATGACACGATGGCAGATTGAATGATATACATATGAACAGGATATGACAAATTAATTCACTTAAAATATGAAATTAAGTATTAATCAAGGCCGGTCCTACCTGTAATGCGATACATGCAAAAAATACGAGCGCATGACTTAGGGAGCGCCAACACAAAATTCGGATATTAAATTTTGAACATAGTTTTTTTTTTCAATATATAATTTCTTTGCATCTTTTACTAACCTTTCCACAATATTTTTAAAATTCCTAAAAATTTACTTTATAACAACAAATTGGAAAGATGAATGCATACAATTCGGCTCTCACGATATCGATTAGAAGAAGTTTAAGATGGCAATTTTGGACATCTTAAATAATAAAAAATTAAATTAATTTAATCCAACTCAAAGTACCAGTGTTATGCTATGGTTATGGTTATGTTATACCGTTTAAAAGATTTCAATTTGCAATATAGTGCGGTAATTGAGACTCATCATTTTATTTAAAGCAGTTATACATTTAACATCACTCATATTATAAACGTACATGCATTTTGGCGTGTAGAGTAATTTAAAAAACAATAATTATTATTTTTAGGTAAACGGTAAATATTAGTATATTATATTAAAAGATTGTAGACATGGGTACAGGACAACGTCTGTCGGTTCATCTAGTTTATCATAAATTTTTGAAGTAAAACTTCTTTAGGCGCGACCAGGGTATAACTCAGCAAAAATGAAACGGAAATGCGTTACGCCAAATACTGATTTTGTCATTGGCCAATAATGTCATTGATGCAAACAAGTTAATTCGATTAATATGAAACAGATGATATTTAAAATATTTTACATACATTTTAAGTAAAAGTCTTGAGGCGCGACTAGTGTGTAACTTAGCAAAAATGCAACGGAAATGCGTTACGCCAAATACTAATTCGTCATTGGCCAACGATGTCGTCATTTGAAACGAGTTAATGCGATTGGTACGGCAACCATGTAAATTACGAAATGTCAAATGTTAAGGATTTAGATAAAAATTCATTCTAAAATAAATATAATTGTCTCTAATTCTTCTTTCCGTGTCAATGGAAACCATATCATTGATTAAAACTGAATCTTAATTTTAATGACTTCTATGTAATAATGAGTGATTTAATATTACGACATGGCCTATAGATTTAAGATAATTAACGTTGGCAAAGTTCCACGTTAGCACAGTTCGGAAAATGTTATTCAGTCTTTGAGACTTGCACAGCTTAATGAATCGATTACACCGTTATTGCATAAAATACGAGTTAATTATTCGAAATTTTTATAAGAAAAAGAAACATTATACTCGGTGTATAAAATTCTTGAATATTTTAATTTCAGTCAATATATTTTATTCAGAGACTGAAATTTTATAAAAAAAAAATAAAACAAATTATAATTCTGCAAATACAAAATTAATTTTCAAACTTCATAAAATTATTTTCCACACATGTACAGTACAGAATACATTTTCAAAAGTAATGGAGATTGCTTCTATGACAAGATAGAGCAAACTTTATTGATTAAGGCCAATATAAATTTGCTATAGTGTTGTCAAGATTGATATCTGATCTATAGACATTGACTACATAATTTTCATTTTAGATATTTTTGTGATAACAAGCGCTACCTCCCTTTTTAAAAATGAAATTATTATTCAAGCCTTTTACACCTAATCATATTAAGAACTTCCTATAATTTTTACTGCATATTTGGAAGAAAAAAACGCCATAGTTCCAATATGCAGTTCACAAAACTGCAAAAAGTTTTATAAACTCAGTCTAAAAGATTCTTAGAATTGCATAAAATATGTTCTCTCTCAATTCCAAACACACTCCGCATAATATTGAAAAATGCAAAAACTAAGATGCGAACACCAGAGCACGTACATACTGGCGCCTCTAAAAATAGATATGGAAATTAATATCGACTGCAGTTTAAATTAAAGTACCAAAGCATTATTTCATTTTATGCATCATTGCTCTAGTAACAAGTTTTCTGAATATTTCAATTTCAACGTCAAATTTAACTGTCAGAGTTACCGTAACAGGAGGAAAATATGAGGTGTAATTCCTCTTAGTTATTAATGAGTTTATGACATAGTACGAAGCTTGTGTTGACTACAATATATTAGCTTAGAAAACATATACATATAATATACGTTAATTAGTAGGTTGTTCATGCAATGCATTGAATTTGTCTGTTTTTAAAAATATTTTAAAAACGCCAGAGTATTACAAAGGCGTAAAATACGAGTACAAAGGTCCAATTTGACTTTTAACATACTGATCTTTTCCATTAGGGATAAGAAAAAAACGATTCAAAACTCATTGAGATATCGATTATGTGTATAATTTAAGACAATGTATTCCTAGAATTTTAGCAAAACAAGTTAAGCGATTATTCATGGTTGTTTATTCAGGCATTACAGTGCAAAATCCAGCTCCACTATGTTATGTAGAAAGCTATCTCCTCTCTTCAAATATGCAAGTTTAGTACACGTCAGAGATGCCCTTGTCTCCGGAAATGTTCTTTAAAGCATATTTCTCTAGCGGGAAACAAAATGCAACTCAAATAAAATACCTTCAAAATAACTTCAAAATTAAAAAAAACGGAGAACCTGGTTTTGTAAAACAAATATATAAATAAATATATATGTAGTGTTTAAAATGAGCAAAAAATCTTCAATTTTTTGACGATTTCTCGGCATGTAGAAGGGCCAAAACTAGAAATTAAATGTAGGACATATAGCAAAAAAAATAACGTCAAAAAAAACTATTTAAATACTCATATATTTTCCGGGTTAAATTCGATCAAAACTCGAAAAATATCCTGATCAAATTCACTAATTTTTTTTTGGCCGTAATATCTTAGAAGCTGGGATTTCGATAAAACTTATAGTGTATATCAAATATAAAGTTAGTAAAATGCTATAGACATTTTATTGCAATTACTCTATTGGCTTTCCCTTTCAAAGTTTTGCAGTGTTTAAAATAAGCAAAAAAAATCTTCACTTTTTTGATGACTGCTCGGTTGGTAGGGCAGCCCAAACAAACTGGAAATTAAATGTAGGGCATATAGCAAAAAATTACATCATAAAAGAATTATTTTAATACTCATACTTTTTTTGGGAAGGCAGGACAGCGGTTTCGTAGATACAGAAGAAACTGTAAAAAAAGTGTGATACTTGGCGGTCTTAAATGATCATTAGACATATGCACATCAAATTATCAGATATTATATAATGATTTCAAATATGAGTACTAATTTTGTTAAAATTTTGGGTTCCGTATTAAAATTTTTAATTTTTAAGGTCCCATTATAAGTTCAAAAAAATTTCAAAATTTTCAGATTTTTTTTCTAAATTTTCAAAAATATGCAAAGTTTTATACTTAAAATATAGATTTTAAATTTATAATTCAGTTTAAAAATGTATATACTTCATATATTTTTACTTTAATCGTAAGAAATATATCTTCATAATTAGATGGATTCATTCGGCATCGCTTCTTAATGTAAACATTTTTAAGTATTTTGAGCGTCACTGCAATTATAATTATATCTTTGAAAATGTTTAAAACAATTGTTATTAATCATTGATCAATATTTATTGTTTTTTTACTCGGATATTAATTCTGGTACGGAAAGTTCCAGCAATTTGCCTTAAGACACGATACCATGCACCACACAAATTTAATCAGTTCTTCATTTTGTCAATATAAGTAATTATTCAAATCGGGCGCATTTCAAAAACTGAAATACTATTTTTGGCACTTTTTGTCCCGTATCTCCGAAACAGCTGGATCTGTCTCCGCCAAAAACTAATCATCACGCCTTCCCATCAACAGGAATCCAATGTTTTTTAAATCATTCAAATTGGTTGATCCATGCGCCCAAAATCGTGGACAAAAATTTTATCCAATACACACACAAAATCCATTTTTTTTAAGATATGCCAAAATGATCAGAAACCTGTAAAACGTAAAGATGTACAAAAATCTTCATTTTCGATTTTTTTGCGATTACTATAACTTACCGTACGGAAAGTTAATAATTAGCGTAACTATGGAGCGACTATGATCTAATCGACACTAATTGATTTGACTCTCTAAATACAAATATGAATTATAAATTACCATTACCAAAATTATGTTTGTTCTGTTGATTAAAATATTTGGCTCGTGATGAATATATAATGTGTGTTTATATAATGAAATATGGAAAAACCTAGTTAAAAATTTAAATCTGTCCTGTTTCTCGCGTGATACGTTTGATAACATGAATAAATGGGAAAATGCGACCTGGTGGAGCCGTCACACACGCCACGCCGCCTAATGTAATACTCGTCTAATTAACCAAGTTTGTCGTGCTAATCTGGACTCAACTTGCATTTATGCTTTGAATGGAAATTTAATCATACAAATCTGCAAAATTGAAATGTTGCTGCATATGAATCTACTTAAATTATTCCGCAGATAATATAACGTAGACCCAAATAATAATATGGTAATGCACTAGACATCAAAAGTACTATAACGTTGTTATGTAAGGGATGTTAGTAATAACAAAAACTTTTCATATATCAATTAATTAAATTAAATAAATAGGGAGGGTCCATTAATCACGTGATAATTTTTTGTAAGAATTTTTGGACCCCCCTCACCCTTGGTGATACACACCTCCCGCATCAAACATAACGTCTTTAATTAAGAGAATTTTTTTAATTTTTTTTTGAAAATGTTTGGATTTTTTTAAAAAGAATTTACGTAAAAATAAATACACGTGATATTTTGCTATACCCCTCCTTTCTTCACGTGATTTTTTGTCAAAACACATAATTAATGGTCGCCCCTATTAATACAAAGTGTAAATATTAAACAAATATTAAAATTGAGATATGACTTGAAATATGCTGCACAAATTTTCAGAATTATTCCCACATATAATTGTTGCTAACATATCATTACTCTATGTAGTCACTTTATTTATAATCTATAGCCGATCAGGTCACGAAAACAAGCTAATGTTCTTTTAATTAGAACTTTATTTCGGTATTAATGATATATTAATAACCTATGAACATATAATTAAAGATAATTTAGATTTCTTGATACCTTGATTTTATGACCAATTTCAAAAACTTTCCTCATAACATATCAAAAGTTTGTAATAAACATGCTAATCTTATATTTCTAGTCACAGTATAACTTATAGTGAGTCAGAATTTCTGATATAAACCTGAGTTGTTTAATAATATTTAAAGTTTATCAGCTTTATATATAATGAGATAATTTGATGATGCAATCAAACGCTGTTGATTAAATTTTATTAGACGCGATTGAGATAATCCAGTTACATTTCTCAACGTTCTTATAACACTAAGAATAATTTCATTAATAATATAGCTTATACAATTAGAAGTTGTCTTTTGAAAATGTCTATTTTCATTCATATTATGTTACTCAAAACTATTATGACTGAAAACGGAACACAATAGCGTTCATTTCACAATTTTAACGTTCTACAGTTACATTTTAAATTGATTCATATGAAAAATATGTGTTCATTTTATTTTTGGAATCAAGGTGCCATTTGTAATCAATAGTAGATATATATGTGCTTCAAATTGTTTTAGAAAACAAATAAGATAGAAAATTTGGTAAGTCAAGTATTCAATATATTAAAGAAAATCGTGCTACAAATAAAGTATTGAATTGCAATATTCTTTGTAAATAGCGAGTCAGAATTATTTCGCTCTTCTACGTTGTTGTCATCTTACAAAACAAATTCTACAATTCTTGCAGAAATACTTAAACATTTTAACAATCAAAAGTACGCATGCTCGAATAACTTTACTATCAATTCATGATACTTCTTCGCCTTAATTTTCTATTTAAGAAACTTTAGAATTTCGCGATTTGCAAGAAGTTTAAGTGCTATGGAGATTGTAGCAATATAATAATCTAACTGCTCTAAAATTATTGTCATATGTGTATTTATATGTGTCCGTAGTTTTGTGTATATGGCGTGAATTTATATAATATTAGACTTACCAATGAATAAGAACATTTCCATCTCTGAGTCTGGCCGCATGAATGAAATCGTTGCATAATGGAAAATATTGCGAGAGATTCTGCCCCGGCGAATCCGAAGCAATCACACACAGATAATGCATATCCTGAAATAAAAAGGATTCTTGATAAAATATTCTATTAATGACACATTTTCCTGTTAAGGCCCTGTGCTAATATACAAAATTTTTTTTTAATAGCAACGCCATGCCAAACTATACACTGATCAACCCATAGGTGTAATTGGAACTTTCCCATGCTAAATATCGCTATAATTTTTTTTTTAAAAATTGACTAATCTATTTTTTTATCACATGTCCGATATAATACTAATAATCATTGATTTTCTGGTAGTCACATACTAAGGACCTTCGTTTATTATTTTTATTATTATATTTTCAAGTAAAATCCCATGCCTCTACCACTTGACATCAGGTTGCTCAAAGCGTGTATCATCGACCTTTGTTTCAGATATAAATTAAAAATACAAAGCAATCAGTACTTTTTTATGCCACCTTTTATCTATTGTATTTATAGCACCCTGCTTCCGAGAATGTCAACATTATGCAAATGATTTTATTTAATATTGTACAAAACTCATTATATTGTATAAACGTAGTCATTTGCAATTTTGGCCGAATAACATTTACATTTTCTTCAGAATGTCGCATATAAATTACACTTCGTCACTTCAATGAAACCGGTATATAAATTATATATTTTAATAAAATTGATAACGAATACACTTCTACATTATTCAGTGTTATATTATGAGCCTCCCTTTTATACATAAGCATTTTATGTAATTATACAAATACTTGTCGTGAGTTATAGTAATCGTCTAAAATTCTGAAATTCGAAAAATTTTTGCAAATCTTTACTCTTCAGAGGCTTCTGTACATTTTGGCATGCCACAGAAAAAATGGTTGTGTGTGTTTGTGTTTTGTGTGTCTGAAATATTTCGTCGACAATTTTGGGCGCCCGGAATAACCGATTTGAAAGGTTTAAATTCATTCGATTCCTATTGATGAAAGACACCGACTTTTTGGCAAAGACAGGTTCAGAACTTTCGGAAATATGGAGCAAAATGTGCTAAAATTTCAGTTTTTGAGGAAACGCAGCATGCAATTCGAATGATACAAAGAACATTTTGCTTGTATAGTGAGTATGAAGAAACTATTAGTATTTATAATGACCTATTTAAAAACATTTAAGATTTTTCGACTATGTATTTCATTATGGTACGAGAAGTTCCAGCATTTTCCTTAAAACGATACCATTCACCACTAGTTCATTTTTTTTCTTTAGGACAAAATTACATACTTATACAATGAACAAAATGACCTAGTACTATTTGGTAAGTACTACAAGACAGTTCATTCGCTGCCAAAAAGAAAAAATTGAAACCTGTCAAGCTTCTTTAACTTCTACTCTAACTATCCCTAAAAACAGACCGATAAATGGCAAAAAATAGAAACACTAATTATTGCAAAAGTCTCTCTTCACATTCTGCTCAAGATAGGATACACTGTATAAAATTGTTCCCTTTAGGCTCATTTTGTGCTGATGCGCCCAAAAGGACCAAATGATTCATTTGTAAACTATATTCTTAAAAATTAGTATCTCAGTATATTCTTAACCTATATGTAATTTTGTCTGTACTATATAGACAACATGGTTTTTGTAACTAGTTGCTTTTTTGCTTAACAAATAAAATATTACAGATCCTATTAATTAAAAGACTATCTTACTTGTGAGCTCGCCGCGGTAAAGAGCGACGGGACTTGATTTAGAAATCCCGGGTTAGAAATATATATAGCAATATATTTCGAAGTGAAAATAGCCCTCACCCGGCATTGCTGCACCATTAAAAGTCAACCCTTTTAGATCAATTATAATAATAAAATCATCAAATGGATGGATCAACCCTTGAAGTAAGTAATAGGATTGAAGGTTCTGATAGCTGTTAAGACCGATTATAATATCATAAAATGAAGAAAAATCATGTCATACTGTCCGTACTTCCCCTAATGTCATACAGACAGGCTAACATGCCGTATTATTTTATAGTAGTTTAATAGTTTTCTACTTACGAGATGCTGCCTCCTGGCCCCGTCGTGTATGGCGACGATGTGTGTTATTCGATGTCGCTCCAGCTGGGCGGGATCCTTCGAGTCACGATAGTTGCCCACGTACAGACCAGGCAAAACCTGCAAAACAACGTCATCCGATTAGATTCCTGATTAGATGCGAAGGCACGTATTAAATTATATATATATACATAGGAGGATATACATTTATAACATAAGTGAAGATGGGGCACGTGTTCTAAATAATCTGAACAAATTAAATTACACTGATTATTCTTTTTGATTGTGGTGGTATTTGACTAAATTAATTTACAAAACTAGGTAGGATATGGGATCGCCCGTAGGTAAGCGGTTAAGAACGACGGGACTTGTTTCAGAGATCCCGGGTTCGATACCCACTTCGAGCAGCCTGTTGCCAGGCAACATTGACAACAATTTTCACTTGGAAATATAGATAGCAATATGTTTCCAAGTGAAAATAGCCCTCACCCGGCATTGTTGCATCATACTTTCCCTATTACAGAGATTGTAATAAAAATTTATCATACAGAGATGTGACAACTGTTTGGGCTGCCATCTGTAATAAAACAAACGTAGATCTTAATCATAACAGCTCATAGAACTCATAAGTTCTGATCGCTATTCAAATAAAATTATAAAAAAGGGTAGAATATAATATAGGTAGTAAAGATGTGGCGTCGTCCTAAATAATCTGGACAAATTAAGTAACAGATAATTATTCTTGTTGATCATGGTCGTATTTGACTAAATTAATTTATAAAACTAGGTGAGATATAATAACTCATGAAATACAAACTCCTATTATATAAAGCAATAATAATTCTAATCTGGACATACGGAAATGAACTATGGGCGTGCGTAAGTAATTAAAATTTAAAACTAATACAAAGAGCACAATCAAAAATATGAAGATGCATTGTGAACGACACTTTACTTGAAAATAGGAACTATTAATGAAGTAATGAAAGACAAAAGTAAAAAAATACCACAAAAAATTATCTGGTCACCCGAACAAATATTCAAACCAATTGAGTGAGGAATATCCTGCTCAAAGATGAAAAAATTGCCATACGATGACTCATTGGAAATAAACTCTTTAAAGGCATGAAGTCTAGCTCATTGTCAAAATATTGTATATTTTTATTGATGCATAAAAAATATCTTTGAAATAAATGTATAATATTTGTAATTGCATCATTTAGGCTTCATTTATTCATCACATTTAATTATAAACTCATACTATACGAAATTAGGTCAACATCAAAATCTAGCAATACTATTAATCAAAGAACCTTCTCCAAGCTGATTGCTCAAAAATGGCTAGGTTCATTTTACTAACATAGCTTTTTATCTATAGGGGCATTTTCTCAGTGGAGGAGACCCCTACATGACATATTTATGAATCACATAAGCGTATAGAAATTTGAATTTTCTAATTGTCTATAATGAATAAATAGTAATAATAAAAAAATAATCAAAGTTTATGGTGATCAGTATAAATACATAACGGAATATTCACAGAGTATCTCCTTATTTTTGTAATTAAACTAAAAAACAGCATTAACATCGTCTCATAATTTTCCGCGTTGAAATTTTGCCTTTGAATAATAACTATAAAAATCTGCTGGCCCAATAATCGCAAAAAAAAACAAAAAAAAACTCGAGGCCTTACGTGATTCATCAAATGAAATTTGCACGGTTACATCAATTTCGAAATTTTTAAAATTTTGAATTTGGTATAACCGTTTTTTGAGAAAACATCGACAACAGATCATATTTAGGCTCACATACATATTCCCACACCTTCTTTTTACAGTTTTAGTGTCAAACGATTCGGTATGAATACAAAAAACGAGAAAACAAAACAAAACATTAGCAAATCGAGAATATAAACTTCTTTATAGGGAAGATAAGAAATTCATAATTTATACAATTAAAATTAAAATACAAACCAACCAAAATAAAATAATGACGTATTTTAACTTAACTTGAAGTAAAAATTCTATTCTTGTATAGTAGGTATTATGAAGTAATATAATTATCATAAATAATATTTACAATATTAGTGTAAATAATAGTACCAATCTCATAGATTGTTTAAGTTATTTAATCAAATATCTAAATTGAATTTATGTGCATCGATTATTCAAACAAAAAGCAATATTCAATTATAATTAACAGTTCTAATAATGAAGTAGAAATTCGATTAAAACTTTGATTAAAGCTGTTGATATCTGATAAAATATTAAAATGCTTTAAATTTAAAAAAAAATATTATTGTACAAAATAACATAGTCATGCCTGAAGGACTTTATTTTAGTTATATAAAAAGTAAATATAATATCTGAGCCAAATAATATAGACTTCGAAGTGGTTCATGCCGAATTTCTAATTTAATGAAAATAAGTTTATTTTAAATGGCTAAATAGCTTCATGTAATAGCAATTGCTTCAATTCCGAATTTACTCTTATTACTGTAATTTATTAATACAATTATTTCATTTCAACTATCATCAATTATTTCAAGTATCTCTCTAAGTTCGCAAACTGTTCTCATTCAAGTTCTCCTGAACACTTGAATTCGAATATTCTAACAGATCAGATGATCCTTCATGTTACAAAATCGATGACATTACAGATACGTATTGACATTCGTTGTTATTAATGTTCAGGAAATGCATCGAATCGCAATCTACTTTATATTTCAGCGAATAGTTGTATTTCTGTTCTACAATTCACAAATATCGATTCTGCAAAACGAATAAAAGCATGACGAAGTGTCCTTGTGTTATGAGATTTTTGATGGTTTAGTAAGACAGCATATAACTATATTTTAAAGATAAGAAAATATAAATTTTATGATGATTTTTTGTTTGTAAAAGATCAAAAATGATCATGAAATAATTTTTTACAAAATAATGCCAATGGTATAATACTTTTTCCAATACTATATTTTATACATTAAGTTTATATTTCTGGCTAGGTATAATTATATTTAATAATATTTTTAACTATAAATAAAAATTCTGGGCCAATTTCATATATTTGGGTCTAAATCTGGGAAACGTACATCAGCAAGCAACAAATGTTTATAGAAATGTGTTTTTTGCTTTTTTACAAAAATTTGTGAACTGGTCCTTTCAACTCAAATGTCTAATGCCTAATTTCAATTTTAGTTCCAATGTCTAATTTCATTTTTAGAGCCATTTTACGAATATAAATTACATGAGAGCATTTTTACAGACATAACATACTGATCTGGCATTTCAAAAATATTCATCAGCAGAGTTCGAATAACTATTTATTTAATTTATCTCTTGTAAAATTGATTTATTTAACTCAATTTACTTTTATATTTGATATATATTTCTTTGCCAAGGTGATGGTTCAGTTGTTTCTTTTTACCCCACCCAGATGTGAGCTTTTATAGAGGTTCTTCGAAATTCTTCGAATAATAAAATTTCCAAAAATCTAATATTTTTCTACCTCTACTGCGCGATCCTATTTCGTATAAATATTATCTTGTGCTCGAGATGAAATTTCGATTTAGATTCAACATATATTTTGTACTTCAACGGTATTTTTGACGACTAGAATTGATTCGAGTTCAAACGAAAAGCAACCACTTGCAAAACCAATCAAATCGCATACGTCGGATCTGTAAAATGCAATCTATCATTTGGGTATTCAAACTCGAAAAAACTCGATGGTTTAAAAGAACAGCTAGTGAAAGTTTTTACTTATTTAAATCGAATAAATTCAATATATATATATATGTGTGTGTGTATGTATATAATGTCCTATCCTATACTTTTTAATATCCTACTTGATATCCTACCTTTGTCATTCATTTATGGTCTTAGCGTAAACAGTATAAAAAATTCAGAAAAAAATAATAAATAAGTTGCTTTTTGTCAATTATAATTTCTAAAGTACATTTTTCTTACCAATAATTCAATAAACATTATTGTTTATGTTCAAATCTCATGTGACAATGTGATGTAAAAAATCAGTATATTAATTTACGTGATGGTTTATAAGTATACCGTGTTGCTTTAAGACCTTATATTTTTTGAAACTTTTGCATAAATTAACCAGATTAGGTAAATCATAGCGCAAAACTAACCAATCAACGCGAGTTTTTCGTGTAATTCAACAGCAAAAAAATCATATATGGCCAAGCTTTTTTTAGGTTGTTAATATATTAATAACATATAGTTTGGTGAGGATCACTATGATTAATTTCATATTGAGTTAACTGTAAATTATAAATATTCCATCACCATAAGATATGTGAATAAAACCACTATTTAGATTATGATATATATTGAACTTCACTCTACAACCTTCTTCTATCATTACATTTGCTAGTCTCCCATATTATTGTAAGTTACAGGTATTTATTCTTATACCATTGCATCCCCTACCCCAAAGGGTCCCGGGTTAAATTGAAAAAGCCCTGGTCAAATCTTGACCATAGTTTAAAATTTTTCGTACATATATTCGTGATGATTCTACAATTTGCCTTGGGTCTTAACATATCCGGGTTTTTATCGATTTCGTAGTTTATCACAATTCTGAAAAAGTGTCATTAATGCATAATAATTAAATTATAGAAATACTATTATAGCTGTGATTTCAACTTGCAATTGTAAAGGTTCAAAAACTATATGTTTGTCGTTTATATTTCTCAATCAGTCATATACAAATGAGTAGTTTACCGGCCCCGAGTCGATATTTCGCACAGTGGTGTTTGAAATATGTACCCACTGCCGAACTGGGTGTTATTTTTAGTTCGTTTTCATGCGATGCACCAAAAGCTAGCTAGCAATGGGCACTCGGCGCCCGCAGTGGGGGCCGCGAGCGTGCGGCGCTCTGCAAATCGATAACCGTACAATAGCTCCTCGCGAGCTCTCACAAAGAAACAAAACAACACGATAAAACACGTGCATTTTCGATGAATATATTGCATGCGTGCTCAACGAGGATCAAACAATATATTTTAATTTGCAACTGCCAGCCATCGGTTTTTACACTAAACACTGCGATCGACTGTTGATTCAGGATGTATAGATAGAAGATATATAGGAATCCGCATT